TCATCCTCATCAACATCCTCATTATCATCACCACCATCAACATCATCATCATCATCATCATCACCACCATTACCACCATCAACATCATCATCACAACCATCAACATCACCATCACCACCATCATCAACATCATCAACATCCTCATTATCATCACCACCATCATTATCATCACCACATCAACATCATCATCACCACCATCAACATCATCATCCCCACCACGACCACCACCAAGGTCAACGTCATCATCCTCATCATCACCACCAACACTACCAGCATCACCGTCGCCATTATCTCCATCTTGACCATCACCACCACCACAATCACCAACACCGTCACGTCCAGTTTTCAGAATTAAAACGGTCAAATAAAAGCTCAAATCCTCCATTTTTACCTTCTCCTTCTCCGGACATGTCTTCACCTCCTCATTCCCTTCGTGCCGTCTCACCCTTGAAAACCAGAGGAGAAACTTCCCCTCCGCGTTCTCCTCGTCCTCTGTGTGAAACCGGACTCGTCAATCGGCGCTGTGGGCGAAGCCCAAACTTCTTCCTGAGCTCCACCAAGACACAACAACCGAGAGGAAGCAGACAAAATACCCCAAGTCTCTGTGAAAGCCTCCTAATGGGAAGAGTGGCTCCCAGTGACAAAATGTGTAAGAACATACTGAGAATTAGGGTATCGACTAAGAAGCTAATGTGGTTTACGGGGACTTTAGGAACGCCTGTCGGCTGAAATCAGCAGACTTTACAGAGGCTGAAGAGTCAAAGAGACACTGGTGAAAAGACAAAGAGGTGAGTTAATCAAACGCTACAGATTAAAGTTTTGACCGCAGGACTGATAAAAATATAGTTTTCATCATTTCAATTTCTTAAAACCTCCAACACAGACTCAAAGTTACTACAACAAACTTTCAGACTCCGTCGCCCCCGTGGACTGTAGGTTTGGTGTCTTTCTCACCAGGGTCCCTTTAGAAAACCCCTCGTTCTACTGCAGCAGAGTCTGGCCGTCTATGTCCTGGTTCTGGTTCTCCTGGGCCTTCCCTCCAGCGGGTCCAGCACTACCTCCTGGGTCTCCAGAGAGGACAAGCTCTGCTCCTTGAGGAGGAGTAGGAGACTAAACGGATGCTTCATATGGAGGCGCAGGACAGCTCTTAGCTGGTTGTGGTGTTCTAACTCCCCCTAGTGGACGTTTTAAACATTCCACCCCTGTAATTTTAACTCTTCTGATTGTAACATCTTCCCAACAGAAAAATCTTCCTGTGGTTTTATCAACCAGCCGGTAGAACAAACAAGTTTCTGGACCTGAAGTCTGGTTTAACACCAACTCAAATCAAAAGGAACAAACAAGGATTCCTGTCGGCTTCAATAAACATGAGCCCCGAGTCCAGAAGGGAGAGCTGCTCCCTCTCAGAGGGCCATGAATTAGACATGAAGGCGCTGTGTAAATAGGACACAATAACCAGAGACAGCCGCCTGCTTCCTGCTGAGTGACGGAGCTCTTCCACGCCGCTTCCAATCCCAACAACGGGCGTCACGCGGGTGGAGGAGAGCGGCCGAGGAGGTTGTGGGAAACACGATGTTCACTTCCGCTATTCATTTTCATCATCGAAATGATTTGTTGTTCTTCTTCCCCTGCAGAGTGGAGGCCTAAAGGCATCACTGATGGGTTCATGAGAGACTGATCATCTCAAACATCGTTCATTGGTGTGTGAACGGATGTTATGAGGCGTTCAGTTCAGTGGCCATCGCCCTGCTGGCTTCTTTTTGAGCAGTGGACAGTAAGTGACCATATATGGACTTAGGTGGACGTAGAGACGTAGCTGGTAGAGACCTGTCAATCAGCGTGTAGCCCCGCCCTAAAGCATCCCCTGCTTCATGGTCTGTTTGACTCTGAATGGACCATAATTCACTAAATGAACATCATGTTGTGTTGAAGAAGACTTGAAACTAGAGACTGAGACATAAACTCATGTTTACAATCTTTACTGAGGGAATAAATCCAGAGAGAAGTAGAGTCATTTCCTCATAGACGTATATGGAGCAAAAGGAGTCGCCCCCTGCTGGTCACTACAGAGAAGTAGAGTCATTTCCTCATAGACGTCTATGGGAGCAGAGGAGTCGCCCCCTGCTGGTCACTGCAGAGAAGTAGAGTCATTTCCTCATAGACGTCTATGGGAGCAGAGGAGTCGCCCCCTGCTGGTCACTACAGAGAAGTAGAGTCATTTCCTCATAGACGTCTATGGGAGCAGAGGAGTCGCCCCCTGCTGGTCACTACAGAGAAGTAGAGTAATTTCCTCATAGACGTCTATGGGAGCAGAGGAGTCGCCCCCTGCTGGTCACTACAGAGAAGTAGAGTCATTTCCTCATAGACGTCTATGGGAGCAGAGGAGTCGCCCCCTGCTGGTCACCACACAGAATGCAGCTACAATACACAGAGCAGAAACGTTCCTCTTCAGAACCGGGCCGTTACCTGGTTCAGCCGGTTCCTTGTCGGTCAGCGTGTCTCCACGTTGTTCAACTTCGAGAGGCACATTTGGCAGAGAGACAAAGATGATTGATGATCTCTCTGTCAAATACTTTGATCTTTACTCTCAACATCACTATTGCAACAAATTCCCCCAAAAAGACCTTCGGGAATTGGGTCAGTAGTCTTTCGCCACTCTGGGTCCACGTTTACGTCCCGTCAGCTGACTTCATTCAACTACAACAGGGAATGAACATTCGTGATGTTTACGCCTGTGAGATGCGTTTGATGGGATTTTATGAACGATGCAGCTACAGCGAGCTGGCAGAGCGTCACATTTAGTCTCGTTCCAGGCGGTTTGTCAAACTATTTGCAAATCTGTGCATAAAAAGATGAGTAGAACTGACATTTAAAAACAATGACACGGTGAATCCATTAGTTGTGTATAAATCATCTAAAAAACACTGATTATTGTATTGTATCACTTCATTCAAAAATCACTTCATTGACCAAAAAGAAAAGGAAATCATGAATAAATGATTGTCTGTAGTCTGGAAAATTTCATTAATTATCCAGGTGGTACAACGTCTGAGCACAAAAATCACTGGAATAGAGTAGATAGAAAAATGTTTTTTCAAAGTTCTTTAATTTAGTATTTTATCAAACATAAAAGAAACACTTTTTAACCTTTAGTTAAAGCCAGCGTTTTGGTGGCCCCAAATAGGCTGAGTTTAAATTACTTTTTCTTTTTTAAATTATTATTAAGCAAACTGTGAGCGGCTGGAAGTGGAGATATTTACTTCATATTCCGTTTGAAGGTTTAAGCTACAACGATGAAACTTTATGTAAAATCTCAAGCAGTAACGTATAACCAATAAACGTGTTGGTTAGAAAGCTGTTGTGGAGTAAGAAGGACAATATTGTGAAGCAACTATGATAATACTTGAGTATCTAAAAATGATACTTGAAGAATGGACACTATAATTATTATTTTATATTATGTGTGATATCAGGGGAGAACTGCCGGCCCTGCTGCACATCATGGCAGAATCACATATTAATAATAATGATAATAATAATAACAATAAAACCCGGATCTCTGAAGGCCAGTAGCATAAAACAGCACAATAGGCCAATACATTTAAATTACACTGTTGTACAATAACCGCTGCGATGAATTGGATAAAGCATCCAAACCCGGAATATGTAATCATTAAAATGAGGCACGCAAATAGGCTACGTGGCCATGATGAGAGGAGAACAACACACCCAGATCCCTGCAGGAATATCCGTTTGATTAGAGACCGTTAAGGCCCCTGAAATGTCAACAGTGTGGATGAAAAGCAGACGGATCGTCAGCTGGCCTGAACGCGTCCTGTCGCACTCAGTCAGACTCCATGAAGAAGCAGGAGGAGAGCCGGAGAACGGCTCCATCCTCCGGCCCCGACGCGGGGGGGGGGATCAACCACGCAGGCAACCGCCGTACTTACTGTCAGAGGCCATGGCTGCGTCTTTTTCCCCCTCAAACCGCCAGCGGAACCGAGGCAGCAGCAGCAGCAGCAGCAGCAGCAGCAGCGTCCCCGCCGCTCTTCATCCTCCAGACGCGCAGGAATCCGCACACACAGCGGGGAACGGTGCCGCCTTCAGGTGCTGTAGGAACGATCAAACCTTAACGGGGTTCCTCCCGCCTCTGTTTTTTTTTTTACCATTTCATAGAGAAATAACCAAAAGCAAACAAGAAAACAGGTTCAGTTAGCGATGTTTGTCCTAAGGCCATGACATAAATTGCTCAGACTCGTCCAATTTCGGAAAGATAAGGGACATTTGCCCGTAAGGATATTTATCCCATGGTCTTTGAACTGTTCATCCATCAGCGCTGCCCCACAAAAACAAATAAATAATTAAGTTATATATATAATGTTATTTAAGACGCAGATGAGGCAAAAACGCACCTATGTGTGCGTGTTATATTATAAAAAATGATCCAATACAAATGTTTTGTGAAAACTAAATCCGTTCACAAACGAAAGAAAAGCCAAATACAAGAAAGTAACCAGATTTCCACTGCTAGCTTTAGCTAATTAAGCTAACGTTACTCACGTTACATTTCTCCAATCATTCAAAGGCGTAGATTTTAACACTTTATTTATTCCAAATAAGTAATAGTTGCTAAATACAGTCACAGAAACAGATTAAAAAGCCAGCTATGCTACGCTAGGCTTAAGGCTAGCTAACAAGGCTAGTAATAAGAGAGCTTTTGGCTGGAGTGGAAATCCCATTTTAGCAAAGTTAAGTATATATGTACATATTTAAATGCATGAAATACAAGAATCAATGAATTATAATCAACAATTCATTTGAAGGTCATTATAAAAATACTACATAGTTTTAATTAAGGTCTTTTATATGATCTAAGAAGCTTTAAAACTAGAATCACCTCCAGCAATGACAAACAGGGACATCCACACACTTTCACCCATTCAATACGACATATACGTGAATTAATTGGTCTGAATCAAATATCACACAAAGACAAAAAATACATTTTTTATATACTTTTATATAAAACTGAGAAACTTCCTAAAATCTTCAAAAACACCAGGAAAGCTGGAGAAGAGAGATCCAGTTACAACAGTTTCCCAGAAATGAATTCATGGTTATTTACATGAAATGTCTCTAAGTTAAGAGACAAAACTAACATCATGTTTTCTTTACTGTCAAAGGCATTTTAATCTCTGACTTACAGGAAAGAACATTTTCAACAAGGGCGGCTGTAAAGAAGACAGCTCATTAAAAGAACAGGTTACAACTTCATGAAATGTAAAAACAACAATAACACATCATGTGCATCAGGATGCAGGTGGACGTCCGAACCGTCTTCATCACCAGTGGAATTTGTTGTACATTTTTTTTTTCTCTGTGGGGACAAAAGAAAAGAAACAAGCAGATAAATATCAACGTTTGAACATTATAAGATACGTTCATTTTGTTTGTGAATGCAGCAGGTTTACACACACACAGAATGCATACAAACAGTTGTAGTAACTGTGTGCGTTTTGTTAGGTTGTGTACCTTCAGGACCAAAGTCCAGCGCGCTGAGACGATGGATGCAAGTCGTCTCCGGGCTTTCATTCCACGAGTCACCTGACGGCAAGAGAGTCGCAGCAGGTGAGGATTCTTTTCTAGATGAAACATTCAGGCGACGAGACAGATCCAAACATGTGTGGGAGGGACTCACCTGAGACGTATATGTTCTGATAGGTTCTGGCTTTGAGTGACATTTTCTTCGCTCTAGAATAACCCGACGAGCTGGAGGGTCCGGCCGAGTTACCCGTGGAATCCACCTCCACCTGACGATGGCGCCGCGACTTGGGGGCCTGACAGATGCAGGTACGTGATGACGTTTAGCAGAAAACACATTAAAGGATTCTTGGGTCTTTTTGATGAGATAACATGAAACACAAACCTCTGTGGCTTCTCCAAAGGCCTTTGATTTGATGGAGGCGAGGAGCTGGGCTCTATTGGAGCACTGAGAACACAAAACAGGCAGTGAGTCAACGGCGCCGCCCTCTGGGCAAGGTTAGCAGTACAGCACTTCATGACAGTTTGAGTATCTAATGTCCTTCAGAAGAATCCAGGTGCACCAGTGACGCTTCAAACCCCTCAGTCACAGTTTAAACAAGTGTAACTCACCTCCTGCTGGGACGACGTCCCCTCGCCACCGCCGTCATCTTTCCTCGGAACACCCTGACAAGACATCACATTTATCGTATGAAGGTTACTCAGAGGGAAATAACCCTGAAGAACTGTTGGATTCTGCAAATGCTGAGGGAAGCTGCTTCAATGCTTCCTTTATTAGCTCCTTTAGCAAAGGAAACACGGGACCTTCCTTTACCAAAGGAACGTAGGAGGAAAAGTGTTCAAGGAGAAGTGGTTAGGAATAGAAGTTAGCTGGTCACTTTTGGACTAGTCGTCCGCAGTGACAGTCCAGAATGTAATAAACAAAAAATAATTTAAAGCATCGCATTTCTAATCAGGGAGTTTCATGTGAACGAAGGTCTCACCCTCCTCTGCTGCCACTGGTAGAAATCCACCACAGTGCTGCGTAGCTGCGGGGCCAAGCTTTTACAGACCAGGTTCAGGGAGGACTCCGACTGCTCTAAGGCCGAAGACACAGACGTCTTCAGCTTCCCGTAGATCTCCTCGACGTTGGACAATTCCTGCAACGGTCAAAAAACAACAACATGCTTAACTAAACTCTTTCAAAAGTGAGATTTTTAAAAGAGTCGAGTTTTCGGCTCACCTCCAGCAGGTCGATGTTGATGAGCTCCTGTGGACGAGACGGCCGCTCCATGAACTGCTCGCACGGAACCGATCTCTGCAACTTCCTCTTCTTCTTGAAGCTCAGCTGGCCGGGGACGAAGAAAGAAAGGAGTCAATCACTTGACTGTATTTCCATTAAAACCGTTTATTACTCCTAACATGATTCCTTTTCTCATAACGCTCTCCGGCCTGGATGGAAAGATCCCCGGAGCTAACGGGATGTTCTCTTTTCAATCCCGCGGCTGGGAGTAAAAAACAACTGGAGGGCTAAAAATGAAGCTCCAGTGTTGTGTGTTGACGTCAGCTCACAGCAACGGGCATGGCAGCGAAGACGAAAGCTTTTTGGAACATCAGCTTTCGGAGGATGTAAACGACGTCGTGGTGCTGAGCATCGACAGCGTCCTTCTCAAACTTCTTCACGTCCTTCCAGTCCTTCAGCGCCAGACGGATCTGCAGCCAGACACACAGCAAGAAAACCTCCCGTCAGGGGCGTTTCATTCGGAACGCGTGGACGACGCCGTGGGGACAGTGTGGTGACCTCTGACCTGCTCTGGGGGCGAGCTGGTCTGACTGTGATACAAGCTGTACAGCAGGTAAAGTCCTCCCACTCGGATCTGGAAGCTGTACGGAGGCATGAAGAAGCTGGACGTGGTGTCCAGAATGAGACGGCAGAACGCTCGCTGCTCTCCGTGGTTCACAGTGCCGCTGCAAAACAACAACAACAACAACATGTGGCACGCTGAGGAAAACAACTGATCAAGTCACTCAGCTAACAAAGTTAAAACCTATTAATGCCTAAATTATTTTGATCCCAGCACAACAAATTACAAGTAATTTAAGTATATTTAGATTCTAGCACTTTTGTACTTTCTTTGAATTCATCATATTTGTTGATTATGTTTTGTATGTATCGTCTGAATCTAAAGATGATAAAAATACGTCCCAGAAAATGTACAAATACCTCGAGATTGTTCTTGAGTGCAAACAATGAAATCTACCCAGTTGCTTTGTCACCGCCACTTTGAAAATGAGATGATACATTATTGCTAAACTTACTAAAATATTTCAGAGAAGTTCATTTCTCTCCATATTTTGGAGAAGGTCTGGAAGCGGACGGAGTCGGATGTCTGGAAGCGGCTCAGCAGCTCCACGCAGTCCGACTTCACCTCCTCAACACAGAACTCCATCTCACGGCCGCCGCCTCCACCCAGCAGCCGTTAGAACGAATCAAAGGTATTAAAAACGACTAAAATAAGAGTGTATGATGTAGACAACACACACGACTCGACAACGACCGTCGACTGTTTAGTGCGTCATCAGTACACGACGTCTTCGCCTGCCTTTGTAATGCCTTCACAAGCACCGTGAAAGTCCCATTTGTCTAATTATGATATTCATTTTATAGTTACGCTTTGACATGATCACTTACACACACAAAGAAACACATAATATCTAAATATTTAATCGTTTTAATTGCATATGTTGGTTCGAGGGATAAAACAGTCCTCAATGTCTTTCGGAATCCACGAGGGTTTCATAAAGCTGATTCTGGTTGTGTACCTGAACGCACCAGCCGGATATGCGTGACTCACGTCCTGCGGAAGTAAACAACCCTCGGCTGACGTGGAGCTGCAGATTGCCACCGACCAGCCAGAGAAACTGGATCAACTGGAACGCAATCGACTGGTGTCAGCGGAACATCGTCCGCTCCGGATTCCGTTCTGTGTTTTAATCCATTCAATGGATTCCGCCGGCGTCGTCTGAACTCCGGGACTAACCGACGGCCCCCGCGCTGAGACAGCCGACCGCTCCGGACGCAAAATGGCGGCATCGGACGAGGCCAGCAGACCTTTCGCCGGGCTGTCGGACGTCTCCATCTCGGACGACATCGCGGTGGAGGGCGACATCTCCGTGCCCGTCGGGCCCTCCGCGCGGCGGGACGACGAGTTCTCCACGCTCGACGAGCCGGTGCGCGAGACCGTCCTGCGGGACCTGCGCGCGGTGGGGAAGAAGTTCGTCCACGTCCTGTACCCGAAGCGCAGCGCGGCTCTGCTGCGCGACTGGGACCTGTGGGGCCCGCTGCTGCTCTGCGTGACGCTCGCGCTGCTGCTGCAGGGCGGCGCGGCCGACAGCGACTACCAGGGCGGCCCGCAGTTCGCCGAGGTACCCGGGGGCCCGTCGGCCTCACACGAGCGCTTCTGCTCCACCGACCTACGTCCCCGCACCGATACCGTGTCCGCTGCTGCGCTTGTGATTGATTTACATTCAAGGCTGATAACATTCGGGGACCTGCAGACAAAAACTATTTATTATTTTACCACATGTGATTTTGCCATTTAATTAATTGCAGATTTAATCAGGAACTAAAGACAATAATAATTATTATAAATAAATAAAATGTCAGAATGTAAAGAATACATCCGCTTCTACAGCCAAAGGTCGTGTCGTCAAGCTGTTTTAATTTTTGTCCGACCTCGCAGCCCAAAGTCCACATATTCTATTCGTTATTGCACGAGATAAAGAAAGAAAAACCCGCGACATGCAAGAAACACGACCTTTTTCATTTCCTCTTCCAAACCCGCATGTTTCTTATTTAACATATCAGATCTCTCCTCCGACTCCTCGCTGACGTCTATTTTTCCCCGCGCAGGTCTTCGTCATCGTCTGGTTCGGCTCCATCATCATCACCCTCAACTCCAAGCTGCTGGGGGGCACCATCTCCTTCTTCCAGAGCCTGTGTGTGCTGGGCTACTGCATCCTGCCCCTGACGGCGGCCATGGCCGTGTGCCGGATCGTCCTGGTGGCCGGCTCGGGGCCGGTCAGCTTCGCCGTGCGGCTGGCGGTGGTGACGGCGTCCTTCGGCTGGTCCACCTTCGCCTCCACGGCCTTCCTCGCCGACAGCCAGCCGGCCAACCGCAAGGCGCTGGTGGTGTACCCGGTGTTCCTCTTCTACTTCGTGATCGGGTGGATGGTCCTGACGTTCTCGCCGTCGCAGTAGAAGAGGACCAAAGATGAGGGAGTTTTGTTTTTTTTTTTTGGGGGGGGGGAGGGGACTGAAAGAATTCGGACAAACACCGGTTTCTGCCTTGGAACGAAGACGAATGACTACTGAAGTGACTGAGCGTGTCTCCGGGCCTCTGATGAGACTCATGGGACACGACGATACCGTCTCCTGCTCAGATCCAGAGAAGTGCGGCGGACGCTGTGCTGATGGCGTTAAAAAGCTGATGAATTTCTTCACATTTACGAGCTTTGTAAAACCGAAGCCCATCGGCTTGTATATAAAAACGCTCTATGAATGTTGAACAGGGCTGCAAACATTAATACTCTCTTCCTCCTGGTCTCTCTGGGTTGGTTGTAAACCTCAGTGTCTTCATGACGCTCTTTAATTAAACATCCTCGGCACTCATTCACACACTACGTTCTTCCTTTTTACTCATTCAGATCTAGTTCCCCTTCTACTCGTCTCTGTCCTCCATGTTTCTTTTAGTATTTTCATTTTTTTTTTTTTTAGTAGACGGATGACTGGTGTCCACATGCTAAAAGTTCTTGCTCTGGACTCGAGACGGGTCTCGTCAATGAGCCGACTCCTTCGTTAAGGGCAGGATTCACTGACACTTTCAGCAGATGAGCGTTTAGTCGTGTTTGAACTTCTCTGTGTGCAGAGGTGGGCGTGCTCACGTGTGTTGGTGGGGGGGTAAAGTCTTTACCACACGTGGGTGGGGGGGGGGGGTGAATTCCATACCGCACATTGAAATTAATTTGGATAGTTTAGAAGCGTTTCCGTCGGCCTCCTGTCTGTGCATTGCATTGTGGGAGATTAGAAGAGAAAGTCAAGCCTCTCAGCTGCAGAAAACAAACCAGTGTTAGAAAAGTCACATTTTACGGTTCCAGGAGAAGATTTTGGACACAAAACACATTCCTGTGTTTGGAACACAGCTGGTAAATGTAGGGAATGTCTGCAGCAGTTTGAGGAACGGTGGCTTCATCAAACAAGGGAACACTTGGTTCTAGAAATACACCAATGATGCAGAGATTTTCTTTGTCTGTCTTCTCCTCGCGACCTCGGACCGTTCCCATGTCGACCGCTAACCTGTTCTTTTACGCTCTCTCAAATCAGTGGGGAGTTCTGTTATGTTTTCTTTTAATTTATATGTATTAGGTCGCATCAACAAATGAAAAAGATTAAACTATTTCATCCGCTGTAGTTGTATTAACGTTTTTTTCTGTTCACAAACTTCTAGATCACTTCAAATGTTTTATGCTTTTCTTAGTCCACAAAATGATTGACATAATCCAATTTTATATCCATTTCTATTCATGCAAGCTTTGGTTCTTCAGGCAATTACAATACAATCTGGAATCCTGAATATTATCTTAATTAAGCCAACGTTCAATTATGAATAGATTTCCCATTGAAATAATATTAACTTAAGAGATTCATTATGATTCAAATAAATGCTCATTAAATTAACTTATGTCCGATTAAATGAATTACATAAAGTCATTAACTTAACTTATTAAAACCAAAGCTAGAATAAAATATTTTTAAAAGCCTTTTAGAATACAAGTGATATCAACCCATTACAAGCTTCACCAGGTAAATTATATTTACATTTAAAACACGTTATTTTAGATACTTCCTGGAGATGTTGGGACACAATAACCATGGATACAGTTTCCATCACAAACGTTCGACCCTTTCTAAATAAAGGGAAATGCGCACTTTCTTTTAGGGAAACAAAACGCGTCATCACCAAGCGACGCAGCCGCCGGCGCAGCTAATACGCGTCTACCGACTAGTAAACAAACGGTGGCGTCCAGGTTTTCTGCCGCTTCGGTCGCATCAGCGAACATTACTGACGCGTTTCGTACATGTAGCGGCGCGCGTTTAGCCGCTAGCCGCTAGCCGTTAGCCGCTAGCCGCTAACCGTTAGCCCGCGGGGGGGGGATGGAGGCGCTGCCTCAGCTCCCGCCCGAGGTCTGGCTCTGCGTGTTCAGCTACCTGGGCACCGAGGAGAAGCACGCGGTGCGCGCCTGCTGCCGCCACCTGAAGCGGCTGGCGGACCACCCGGCGCTGTGGCGGGACCACACGGTGCTGCTGTCCGACCTGCGCCGCTACACTTACGGCTTCTGGGACACGCTGAACTGCCGCCGGCTCACGCGCGTGGCGTGGGACACCTGCGGCGCAAGGAGTGGCGGCGGCTCGTCAAGTTCCTGCCGAGCCTCACCGCCGTGGTGTTCGTGGGCGGGGGCCGGGCCTACAAGACGAAGTACCTGGAGAACCTGACCCGGTTCCCCGGCCTGAGGGACGTCGGGGTGCGCAACGCCACCTGGGACGAGCCGATGCTCGGCCGGAACCTGGGCGCGCAGCTGCGCCTGCGGCTGACGCGCCTGAGCGTGTGCGACGTGCGGCTGCCGTGCGCGGCGGGGTTCGTCCGCGCCGCGTCGCACCTGGTCAACCTGCGCCACCTGCTGTTCCACCAGCAGGGCGACGCCCGCGGGCCGGACGCCGCGCGGCCGGTGCCCCGCGACGTCTTCCACGAGCTGCTGCTGAGCCTGAAGCAGCTGACGCACCTGTCGTGGGGGATGAGGGGGGAGCCGCCGGAGCCGCTGTGCGAGGACTACCTCAGCCCGCCGGACCCGGAGCATCCAGGTGAGCCAGAGACACGACCGCCCGTGCGTGGACCCGTCCTCTTCCTCGCTGCATGCTTGGCACCATTCTCAGATCACGGGCGTTAACTGATTATTTATATTATAAGGAAATCTGTGTTTTCCATTAATAATATTTCTAATAAATATCACAAACTGACCCGAATATATTGTATTTGCTGGGATATAAAAGGAAAACAGCCACTCTTCCTCCTCGGTCCTGCAGGAGCGGCCCGGTACGGCGGCCCGGCGCTGACCAGCCTGGAGCTGGTCGACTACCCAGAAACCATCCTGCCGCAGCACGCGCTGAGGAGCCTGACCTCGCTGAGGTCGCTGACCGTCCGCTACAGGTACATCAGAGAGGGCGTCGAGTGTCGCCTCCCGTCCTGGCTGAGCCCCCTCCGGCAGCTGGAGACCCTCGCCATCATCGGTGAGCCGCTCGCTAAGGATGCTTTTGACATCCAGATGTGCAGATGCCCTCAGCTCGAGGCTAAATATTTCTACTATACCTGCCGCCCCCCCCCAGGCGGTAACTCCCTCGCCGTCTACACCACCACCATCCCGTCCAGCGTGACCCGGCTGACGCTGCGCGTGGCCATAACCCTGAAGGACATGGACTCCATCGCGCCCAAGGTGCCGGCGCTGGAGCACCTGGACATCGAGCAGAACCGCTCCAGCGGCAGCCTGTGCAGACGCATCCCCATGCTGTTCCCCCAGCTCAGGACGCTCCGGATACGGTGAGGGGTCGGTCCACGCGCCACAGGGACCCACAGTATTATGTGGTGAAGCATTTAAAGGCCCTTGGGTGGTGCTCACACACACACGGACACACACACACACACACAGCTGGTGTCCTGATGTGTTTGTGCGACTACTTGACTCAGATTTAAGCTTCCTTGGTTCTAATCAATGATCAGTCCGGCTTCTCTAGGATTGATTTTAAGATTTAATGATCACTTTGAACCTAAACAATAATTGTATATTACATTTTTTTTTTATTTTGAATCGGAATTGTTTAGATTTTGGAGAGTTTCTATCGGTACCCTCATTGAACCCGCCCCCCTCTCAGGTTCTTCCGCCGAGAGCCGGAGAAGGACCTGCTGAGCCTCCACCGGCTGCCCCACCTGGTGCAGCTGGAGCTGCTGGTGGAGCGCTCCTTCATCCTGCGGGACTACCTGAACGGGCTCCCCTGGCCCAGCCCCTGCGTGAAGGAGCTCATCAAGCAGCTGCGGGAGCTCTCGGAGAACCGCATCACCGTCATCACCACCATGCGCCAGAGGAGCCCGCTGAGGGAGTGCGACTGCGTGTGGGAGGGCGACTGACGGGAGGGGGAGGATTTAATTACTTTTATTCCTCCTGAAGAAGAAGAAGAAGGAGTCGCCACAAGAGCCGGGAAACCGGAGCTGCTGAGGATCTCCAGACATCATGTCTCCATCCCGGATCCTCTACAGAGCCCGAACACGTGTCCGAGCAGAGAAGAAAGGCCGCCATGTTTGTACCTCAACGCCCCTTTTTAAAAATGAAAAGTCCACAGAGGCCCAGAGGACTGTGACGCGGTTCAGTCAGACATTCATGTTCTCATGAGATGTGAAGATGAACTTCTAATGTGGAACATCTGCACGAAGTTCTGCTTTTAGTTTGTTATTGATCGGGTGGACGGATGGAATCCGTGCGGATGAAGTTCATAATATTTAGTAATAATGGTACTAAATTAAGGACAAATATCAATACAAGAAGTTTAGTTTATTGGAAATATAATAATAGAGGGGATGCTCACGTGAAGAGCTGACATTAATCTGCTTGTTTAATCGTCTTCCTTTTTTATATTTTTGATCATCTTTTTTTATTGGATATGTTAAACGTTAAAGTGATTATTTGTATTATCATTGAATTAAATCCAAAAAGTGACTTAATTTTATTATTACCAAATGATAATTGCTTTCTGTCAAACTTTAAAAAGAGACAAAACAGGATGAGAACTAATGAATCTATTTTATTTATTTCTCAGCAGAGACTTTGTCAATAAATGGAGCCGGACTGTCAGTCAGCAGCAGCTTTACGTAAAGCTGAGAGACTTGAAAGATTATTTTCTTGATGCTTATTCTTTTAATTTTATTGCTCGCAAAGCGGGTTAATATGTCATTGATGGGGAACTTGGATGAACGTATGCAGGACATTGAAATGAAATCATGGGGAAATAAATGTGCGGTGGTGGTCAACACCGTCACCTCACAGCAAGGAGGTCCTGGTTCCGCCCAGCGGCCTTTCTGTGTGGAGTCTGCATGTTCTCCCCATGTCTGCGTGGGTTCTCCGGTTCCTCCCACAGTCCAGAGACGTGCTGAGGGAATGTGAGTGTGTCCCTGTGTAGCCCTGCGATTGGCTGCCTGGATAAGCGGTGTGAAGATTGATGGAAAATATTTGCTGACATGACGAATATTCTTGATTAAATAAAAACTTTTAAATGAAAAGCTAAGTTATGCTAGTTATGTTTGTCTTTTGGATTCCTTGTTAATTTTGTTAGATGTTTTAATGAATTAGATCAAATCATCTCATTAAAGATGACACCCCCACCCAAAAAAAACATTTTATATTATTTTTTATTACAGGACTTGGTGGCACAATTCTTACTGTACAGTGAACATGTTCATATATATATATATATATATATATATATATATATATATATATATATATATGAATTAGTATTATTAAATGGCACTCTAAAGTAGAAATGATTAAATCAACAGGTTTGAGTGATGTTGACCCTTCTAATTCAGAACTCCAGCAGGAGGGTCATCGGCTCGGCGGCGCTCAGCACCATCTCCTGCCGCTGCCCGTAGACGCCCTGCTCCACCGCCACGCCCGCCTTGGCGCACTTGGCCGAGCCGTCCATCAAGTCCCTGCAGGCGGCCACCAGGCTGGAGAAGAGCTGGGCGCCGCGCCACAGCTCGCAGCCCCCCCGGTACTGCACCCGCCTCCTGGGCAGCGGCTCCCCCAGCAGGGAGTCCTGGGGCACCAACAGGACGCTCCCGGGGAGGTCGAGCACCGACACCGAGTGGCCCGAGTCCTTGCGGAACAGTCTGGTGGTCATCAGGCTGCCGGCTGTCCAGAAGATCAACAAAAGGAGTTGTTACGGCGTTTTGTGGCGTGAAGCCTGATGGGCAAAAAGAAGCCGGCTCACCCATCTGATGGGCGACGTCCTCGGTGGCTCCGTGGAGGAAGCAGACGTAGACCACCATCCCCTCCTGGATCTGAGGGACACACAAATGATGTCATCACCGGTGTCTTCTTCACGAGGAGCTAAAAGTTTATCACTCAAATACACACGATTATTTAAAATAGATACGGTGAGTCGATACAAGCACATATTTGTTCTCATCCACTGAGTGAAGGACAGTTGAAGCCGTCTGGAATGTGAACCTCTAAATAAAAAGTTAAAAAGGATCCCAGAAGTTCAGCCATGGACGCGTCACGCTCACCTCGGCCCACTGAGCGGCGGCTCCGTCCAGCGCCGGTCGGATCTTCACCCTCGCCGCGGTGCACTGCTGGATGACGGTCCGGGCCTGGAGGCCCCCGGGCCTCACCAACGGAACGGTGCTGCTCCGACGCACACACGGAAATCAACACAATAGATCCTCTGACTGTTTAGAATGGGTGGAGGCCTTTGTAAGGAAGACACCATCTTGTTTTTTTACAATTAGTGAACAGGAAGTGACCATTTACGTCTTTGGTAGAGACAGACCTGTCAATCAGCGTGTAGCCCCGCCCTAAAGCGTCCCCTGCTTCATGGTCTGTTTGACTCTAAATGGACCATAAATCACTAAATGAACATCATGTTGTGTTGAAGAAGACTTGAAACTAGAGACTGAGACATAAACTCATGTTTACAACGAGTCATTTCCTCATAGACGTCTATGGGAGCAGAGGAGTCGCCCCCTGCTGGTCACTACAGAGAAGTAGAGTCATTTCCTCATAGACGTCTATGGGAGCAGAGGAGTCGCCCCCTGCTGGTCACTACAGAGAAGTAGAGTCATTTCCTCATAGACGTCTATGGGAGCAGAGGAGTCGCCCCCTGCTGGTCACTACAGAGAAGTAGAGTCATTTCCTCATAGACGTCTATGGCAGCAGAGGAGTCGCCCCCTGCTGGTCACTACAGAGAAGTAGAGTCATTTCCTCATAGACGTCTATGGGAGCAGAGGAGTCGCCCCCTGCTGGTCACTACAGAGAAGAAGAGTCATTTCCTCATAGACGTCTATGGGAGCAGAGGAGTCGCCCCCTGCTGGTCACTACAGAGAAGTAGAGTCATTTCCTCATAGACGTCTATGGGAGCAGAGGAGTCGCCCCCTGCTGGTCACTACAGAGAAGTAGAGTCATTTCCTCATAGACGTCTATGGGAGCAGAGGAGTCGCCCCCTGCTGGTCACCGCACAGAATGCAGCTCATGAAGCTCGTCACAACAGGAAGTTGCCGCCGAGTGTTTTTACTCACCTGCCGACCTCAGGAAGGGACTCGGCCAGCCGCACCGGGGCGGAGCCGGCGATGGTGAAGACGGGCCAGGGTTTGGTGCTCGGGGCCACCACAGGCTCCAGGCCGCCGCAGGACCTCCGCTTAGCCGGAGACGCCGCCTGCGGGTCTCGCTGCTTCTTCACCCGCCGCTGGATGCAGAGGGTCATCGGCCGTTTTTGCTCGCTCGCCGCTTGCGGGAGTCCGTGCTGAGCCGGGCGCTCCGGCGGAGGACGCGACCCAGCAGGAGGTCTGGTCTGGTCCTGGTCTTTGCCAAAGCTCGTCTCCTTCGTCTTGCGCTGCGGGGGAGTCGCAGTCTCGACGGGCAGGAGCCGGGCCACAAAGGGGCCGTCGGGGGTCCCTTTCCGGAGGACTATGGGCATTCTGGGCTGGAAGCCGATGGGAGTCCTTAGATGGAGCAGGATGGGGATTCTGGGCTGGGGGGTGATGGGAGCCGCAGGCTGGGGGGGCGAAGCGTCCTCCTAGGAATCGCACCAGAGGCAGAACGTGAGTGTTTTAGCATTTACACATGTAGCATTTGAGCTTGTTGGTGTATTTTGTGTCGACCTGCTCGTCTGCCGCCGAGAAACCTCCCAGTGGAGTCGGACGCGGCTGCTGCTCTTCATCACAGCCCCCTTCATCGGCTTCAGCAGCACCGCCCTCGTCATCCTCGCTGTCAGAGGAACAGGACGCACGCGGCGGCATTCAGAGGGTGCCAACAGCGGTAAATATATACCACTACTACTACTACCTGTCCACGTGGTCAGGTGTTGCTGGTGATGTCATCGCCTCCAGACGCTTTCTGGGCCCTGATTGGTGGGCTGGTCTCTTCCTCCTGCTGCACTGAGAGCAGCTGTTGATCCACTGCAGCACGTCACTCCTCATGGTTTTCCAGAAGTACCTGATGTCGTGTGATGAAATGAAAACAGCATTTGCACCTCCAGGGTTAAATCAGATGGAAATATAATACAAGAAACCTGAAAACAAATCTTCTGTTGGTGCCAAAACGTTGAATACTTTCTATAATGTGTATTGTTCGGTTGTTTATTAAAGGAACAAATAACTTGCAGATGTAATGAGGCTTCATCAATAATACAAGGAATGAACATGTGGTTGCAAGAAGGTGAAGATTCTTTGTTTGGGTTAATACGTCTAATAGTATTCATACTGTTCAGCAGGTATTACACTGAATACATTTTTCACATCAATTTAAGGTTCAGTACAAAAATCAGCTCAATGAGGCTGAAAATACACAAACTTGTAAAACAAAGATCTAATATATATATAATATATATATATTTATATATATATATGTTAAACAGTATTTTTCGACCGGAGTCCGGCTCACCTTTCGTTGAGCAGCCGGAGACACTTGTCCAGGTCGAGGTGGTTCAGCTCGTTGTGATAATCCGTCAGGGCGGCTTCCACCTGCTGCCGGCTCCTCAGAACCAAGCGCACCCGGTCGCCCCTGGCGATGTGCAGCGCGTCGTCTGGGAGAACGTTACCAAGTGGAGGCTTCATTAGTATGAAGACTTGAAACTAGAGACTGAGACCAAACTCATGTTTACAATGTTTACTGAGGGAATAAACAACAAACCTTTGATGGAGAACTGCTTGCAGAACCTCCTGAAGGTGTTCTTCTCCACGTAGCTCAGCCCCGGGGGGTAGGTGCGTCTGCTCAGGTAGAGCTCCACGGCGTCGTACTTGGCGAAATAGGCCTGACCGGCAGACAGAGACGGTGAGAATGCAGTACAGAACACCACATGGGGAGGCGGGGGGGTAGATCCCCCCAGTAATGGTGGTTAGTACCTCCTCCCCTACAGGCGGAGTCGGTCCTTCGGCCGGAGTCTGTTGGAGGAAAGAACACAACTCAAGCTCCTGTCGCCTCACTCGCCCCCCCACCCTCCCCCCAAATCCCCCCCAAACCTCACCGCACCACCGCCGTGCACCAGCAGCGTGGGCACGGCATCCGGCCGGACCGACACCTTCTCCCCGCTGCGGTCGAAGCAGTCCTCGGTGAAGTGGGTGGAGCAGACGGAGGAGCCCAGCCGAGGGTGCCAGTTGGGACGTCCCACCACCTTCAGCCAGCGGGCCAGCAGGGCGGGGTCATACAGGGGGAACCTGGGAGGGGGGCGGAGGAAGTGACGTAGTTCACCTCATGGAGGCGAGGCGGTGACCCTTTAAAAGCATCACCTGGTCTCACAGTTAGAAGGTTATTTTGATCTTCAGATAGCGAAATCTGGAGTTTAATCAAGTAAACTTTTAATTAAGTAAACTGTTGAACAAATTACTTGTGATTCAACATTATTTAAAACCTCATGAATCTTTTAATTTATAGAGCATGATTTAATAAGGACAAACCTTACATTAGGATTAAATGTTCAAATCTATATTTTAGGTCAAAAAATGTCAAGTCGAAAAGGAAAACAATGTAAAATAATGTTTTTATTAAAGGTTAAAACTTATTCGGTCAACGGGGAAATGGTCAATGGTTTTTTAAAACAAAATATTTTAGATCGAAAAACATCTTGGAAAAGAAAGTAAACTATTAGGTCTAAATGTTCTGAAAATAGTAGAAAATAAGCCAAATACTTCAATGTCAAAAAGTATGAGGTCAAAAATGTTTTGAAAAAACTATGATTGAAAAATGTCATCGAAAAAAAAATATACATATGTTAAAAAAAATGTCATGCAAAAATAGTAATTTTAGGTCGAAAAAATATTAAATTAATAAAATGTAAAAAGAAATTAGATTGAAAAATACCATATCAAACCAAATAAAAATATTACGCCAATAAATGCTTGAAAAAAAAAGTTGATCATGAAAGAAAAATGTAGTCGAAAAAAAGTAAAAAAAAAAATTGATTGAAAAATATAACTGACAAAAGAAATATGTTCAGTCAATAAATTTCATGGAAAAAATGTTTAAAATATTATGGCCAAAAATGTTTTTAAAAAGTCATGTAAAGAAAGTAAAAAAAACATGTAGTCGATTAAAAAATGTCGTCTAGAGGATACAAAATATTAAAGTCAAAAATCGATAAAGTACAAAAATAACACGTCAAAATGTTTCGAAAAAAAGTCAGTTCTTTAGTCGAAAAATATCATGGAAAAAAAAGTCAAAAGGATTTTAGTCCATTACCGAATGTTAACGCCGTCTAATTATCACAGCAAGTTCGGTCTTTGACCTTTTTGAGTGTTATCGGTGCCCGAAACACCAGGCTCTGTTCTGGATGCCGGATCCCCCCCACCACCCACCCCGTCCCCCCTCCTCCACTCTTTGACATGCTCCTACTTGTGGAAGGTGAGACCCAGGCCGCGCTCCACCGGCCCGCAGCAGTTGGTGCAGGTGGAGACGCTGCAGCGGAGCCACTTCCTCTTGGTCCGGGTCAGGCAGGTGTGGCAGCTGGAGATCCAGCGGGCCAGGTCGCGGGTCATGCTGGCCCAGTAGAAGTGCTTGGTGATGGCTCGCTGGCAGATGCCGTGGCCGTGGTGACCCTGGTTGTTGTGGAACTGCTGCAGGATGGAGTTCACCTGTGAAGAGGTCCCAGACAGGAGGTCATTGTGGTTCCACGCTCCCAAACCGACAGACCTGGAGGTGGGGGTTCGGGTGCTGGAGAGCCGACCTCGTCCCTGCTGCGCGGCACCCTGAGGGGAGGCGAGACCCGCGTGTACATCAGCACGCCGTCTGGAAACCGCAGAGAAAGGCTTCAGCGAAGACAATGATGATGAAAGGAGGCGGGTCTGTGCGCCGAACTCACCTTTCAGGCCGAAGCGCTTGGCCATCCTCTTCAAACCCCCGCGGGCCGCCTTGCTCTGCACGGGGAGCACTTTGTTCCCCAAGTACCTGCAACACAGAAATAGTTACACCAACACGATGAGCCGAGTTGGAAAGAAGCGTGCGGGTGGGGGTCGGGGGGCGGGGCCCACCCAGCAATCTGGTTGTACGCCTTGAAGCTCTGCTCGATGACGGTCTTCCTCTTGTTGGGCTCCACCACGGTCTGGGCCTCTCTGGAGTCCGGGTCCGGGCCAGGGAGGCAGTACCGGTGCTCCTGCAGCTCGGCGCGGGGTCCCGAGGGATCGAACGCCGGCTCGGAGGCGTCCGCGCTGTCGGCGGCGGCGGCGTGGAGGAGCTCCTCCAGGGTGGCGGAGTTCAGGAGGTCCTCGTCTGAAGGGACCGGAAGCTGGAACCAACGTTCACACACCTTTAAAAGACTATGGTTCCCTTCATGAAACGTAAACATGAGACGGAGACGGAGACATGGATCTTAAAGCTTTCCGTCTCCTGGCGAGGTCGTCACCTCGTCCTCCTGCAGCGGCGCCAACATGACGGTGGGCACGGCGTCCGCCGCCAGAGCCGGCCGCCCCCCAGCGCCCGCCTCCTCGCCCGGCGAGAAGCAGGCCGGCTCAAAGTGCCTGGAGCAGAGGCGGGAGTTGGTGCGCAGGGAGCCTTCGTCCCTCTGAGCCGCCGCCAGCCAGCGGCGCCGGAGCTCCGCCTCCTTCGGGAACCTGTCGGAGGAGAGAGGAGGGGGTTCCAGAGACTAAGTAGTGTTGAGCATGAAGCTCCAGGAGGTTCTCCTCGGTACGGACGTGACACAGACCTGTGGAAGCTGAGCGCGGGGTAAACGTAGCTGGAGGCGTCGCAGCCGTACGCCAGGCAGAACCGGACGGGCGCCGCCGCCGGCTCGGCGGGGGTTCGGCTCCGGCAGACGGAGCAGGCCTGGATCCAGGACTTCACCGACTCCGTCACGCCGACCCAGTAGTACAACCGCTGGAGGGGACGGAGGGACGGGGACAGACGGGACGGAGGGACGTTAGTTTTGTTTTTTTTTGCAAGTGGCACCGCCTGCAGGGACTCACCATGACCTCCCGGACCACCCGGACCCGGCCGGCGTGGTTGTGTGTCGTGATACGGGCCTGATCTACCTCACTTCTTCTCGTTCTGATCACGGGAGGAAGCGCCGTCGGTAAAGCCCGGCAGCTGGCCTTCTTGGGACAAGAAGCAGGTGTGGAGGTCGAGTGTGGAGGGGGGGGAGGGGGTAAGGGGGGGGGGGAGTCACAGTGTGTTACTATGGAATGCAGTTTTAGTCAAAATTAAATAAATGAATAAATACGTAAATACATGAAATATGCATTTGAAATACATCATAAAATAAATAAATGAGGCAATAAATACATAAATATTAAATACATTTAATTATTTCATGGTACTTTTATATCATAATGCCACTTTTCATTTCCAGAGTCTTTCATGTCATAATGCCACTAGCCAGCCTTCTTTTGCACACGGCTCTGTTGTCTGTTCTGAATGTTAGATGTAGCCACGCCCCCTGATTTGAATAGAAGAACGTGAAATGTAAGACGGCATTATGAAATAAAAGTACCATGAAATAATTACATGTATTTAATATTTAAATTAACGTGGGTGTGAGGCGTTATTGATTAACGTGGGTGTGAGGTGTTATTGATTAACGTGGGTGTGAAGTGTTATTGATTAACGTGGGTGTGAGGTGTTATTGATTAACGTGGGTGTGAGGCGTTATTGATTAACGTGGGTGTGAGGCGTTATTGATTAACGTGGGTGTGAGATGTTATTGATTAACGTGGGTGTGAGATGTTATTGATTAACGTGGGTGTGAGGTGTTATTGATTAACGTGGGTGTGAGATGTTATTGATTAACGTGGGTGTGAGATGTTATTGATTAACGTCGGTGTGAGATGTTATTGATTAACGTCGGTGTGAGGCGTTATTGATTAACATCGGTGTGAGGTGTTAAAAACCTTTGTAGATGAATTGTTTGCTGGCGGCTTTGGTGATTCTCTTTGAGCTCTTTGATGCTTCCACAGGAAACGAACCCGCCCGCATGAATTGCTCCACCCGGTTCAAAAAGTCAAAAGATGGCATCTGTGAACAGAAATGATTATTATTATTACAGCGGCCAATCTGATCTGAAGACAATGTATTGATTAGCCAGCTGTGGGAAGAGCCAATCACAATTTCGTTTTTGTTCTCATTTTAGTGTTCATGAGAAAATAGAAGATTGTTTGCTTACTTTTGTACATTTCGTATTTAAAACCTGGAGGCAATTGTAGAATTTGTGATAATGCTGCGGTTTATAAGCATGACATTTATTTAGATTACATTTGGACAGAAGTTTAGTAAATAAAATCGTATTTCATCAGATTAATTTTTGATTTTAGTCACTCTGTTAGTGACGTGATTGGAATTGAAAGGAATAATAATAATAAAAAATTTAATCGATTAGTTGAAAAAAACTGCCAGCTGCATGTATCGATTCAAATGATATCGATCTGTGAAAACAGAAACACGGACGTCTCGGCACGTGACGCTTAAGACATTTTTCACGGCACTTATCGATCATTTCATTTCATCTAAGAGGCGAACGTTTAAAGTTTCCCACCTTAGAACATCTTACGTCCGGTAAACACAAATCCTCGTTACACCGTCATCGACTTTCAGCAAAGACGCAACTTTCACGCGTTATCTTTCAACTCAACGGTTTGTTTCGACGACTTAAATCCTTTTACGTCTTTTAAATGTAAGAATATATTTGACAAAGGGTTACATTTCAGGTTGAACTAGAAGCTAAATGTGGCCATAGGTGGTTCGCGCATTTAAGCCAGCGGCAGCAGTGTCACTAGTTCCGGTTTGGTACCTTTCAAAATAAAAGGTTAAATTGAAATATAAAATTAGAAACTGTTATAAAATATATGCATTAATTGATGAAGGAATATAAAGCACGCTTGTTGTTAATGTGTAACAAGATTTTTAAACATGTGGCATTGTATTCAAAATACATAAAGATTCATAAATATAACTAGCATGAATTTTTTTTCATTTGTATTTATTAAAATCAAATCCTTAAAACGAATTAATAAGTGTTGATTTATATTACTATGTGCTTATTTCAGGCCCACAGCTGAAACTAACATTTGAGCCTCTGTTGGACATTAAAGGCTGATTATGTGACTTATGTGCCATCATCTTTCAAAACAAACACATAAAATCAGGTACAAAACTTCAAATTGTTGGTATGTTTTATTAATCAAGCCAATTAGTTAAAATGATAAAAATACGTTACCATCCAGTAACCATCCTTTTTTTTCATTTTCACGTCAGTCGTCGTACTACACACGAGACGGACAAAAGGTGTTTTCATATTCCTCCAATTTTCATTATCTTATTTTGGCGGGTTGGGTGATCAACCGGAGACCGCATTACTCCTTCTTACCGCAAAAGTGACAGAAAAAAGGGTTTGACGCAGGTTGTAAAAGCTGCTGTAACCCAAGTTTACTGATCGCTGCTCGTTTCCGGTCCATGACCCGCCGCACAGCGCCCCCGCCGGCCCGGAGGAGAAACTACACCCACTAATTAAACATGACAATACTTAACAAATACTGCATTTCAAGGAAAAAACATTCGTCAGGCAGAGGTATTGAACTATGATCATTTATATACACTCAAGATAGTAAAAGAATAATGAACAGTAAATAAAATAAAACCCTGCAAGTGTTTTTATTATTATTATGCAGATTTCATTTCATCTATTTCATCAGTTTTTGTCTGCAAGTCGAGCTGTCATATGAATCAAATGCTGTAAAAAAGAGATCAAAGTGGAGTAGAAGTACAAAGTAGCATAAAATTAACGTCAAATGTAAAGTTAAGGGCTCGAGTGAATCCACTAAATGACATTTTTCCTCTCTGACTTAGTGAATCCTACATTTCTGTTTCAGTTCATAATGTTCTGAAATCATGCAATGTTTTTTTTAACCTCCCGTGTTTGCGTGGATACTCATGGGGAGACCTTCTGTTAAATAGAGCGGTATGCTGGAGGACCAAGAGTGGCCTTCACAACAGTCCCCGACCTCCGTCCCCCCTCGACCATGTGACAGATGTCCCCGAACGGGAAGCAGCTGCTGTTCTTCTTCTTCTTCTTCTGTGGAGTTTTTAAAACATTTTGTGGGGTCATGAACAGATTTTTAAGACTCCGAATCATTGGGAAATCAACTTTTAATGTCTGTGTGTGGCTTTGCTGTCGGACGTTGGTCTCCATGGTGACCGCGGCAGAGCGTCCCTCCTCAGAAGTCCACGAGATGCGTGTACGGCCCGTTGGTGTCGAGCTTCAGCACCTGTCTGTTTCCGTACGTGCCGTGCTTCACTGAAGCGGCCGCCAGCCGCTCCTCGCACAGAGACACGAAGGCGGCGTAGAGCCGCAGGCCGTCCTCCTTGCCGATGTTGTCGTGGTACTGCAGGGCTCGACCTTTGGCCTTCCCACCCAGCGTGGCCTGAGGGACAATCAGCAGGTCGCCGGGGAGCTCCGAGACCGAGACCATCTTCCCCGAGTCGGACTCGCAGAGCCGCAGGTTCAACAGCGTGGAGGCTGGAGGGGGAGAGCGGGGAGGGAGGGAGGGGGAGGGGTGTCGCCATGCACGCCAATACGTATAGTGGGAGAACAAAGTAAAATAAAAGCCAAGACTAAGGAGGAAAAGAAATCTGAAGTGTGAACAGGATGTCAAAAGAACTGTAAATATGTTTTTAAAATGAAGAAAGGAGTAGACAATTAGAAATATGCACATATTAAAAGTATAAAGAAATACGTGCTACGTTCAGATGTTATGATAAAAGAAATGTTAGTGTGACACACACAGCCAGATGTGACTTTATGCAACGTGAAGGTCAAAGGCTAAATGCAGTGACTGACCCATCTTGGGCAGGAGGTCGTCTGTGGCTCCTTTAAAGAAGCAGATGTAGATCACCATGCCTCTCTCGATCTGAAAACAAGCGGCCTTCAGGGTCAAATGAAGTCAGCGGCCTCTTTAAATGATCTCATCATTAACTAACTCATATCCCTTGTCATTAGACAACAGAGAGGAAAACGGCCAACAAGGTGCTGATTTGACTTCTTTACATCTGGGGGTTTCTCCTAAATCCAAAATAAGTTACCATAACATAACGCCTCATTTGAATATTTAAACATAACATTTCAGAAAACTTTTGATGAAAGGCATATTCAACTTAATAGCAATAATGAACTGGTAGAATATCATGTCGATATCTATTGTTACGGTCTATTTTCTGATTAAAAGTATTTTATTATGCCGATTTAAATAAAGTCTCTCCCATTATATATTTTATTTCCGTTATTTGACTTCCTCCCGTAAAGCACTTAGTACTTTCTACAAATAATGCTTGCTAATATGAATCTAACAAATGTAAAGCTTCCCTGCTTTGTGATCGTTCTAACACTTGTGATTTGGCTTTGATTGAACGCATTTGATTCATCCCAGTACATTTTACAGAGAACATAACGGGAGACGCGTCATGGGACGCTCTCACCTGGACGAACTGAGCCTCGGCCTCTTCCTCTGCAGGTTTCACCTGGAGTCTGGCCTGCAGACACTGCTGAAGCACCGCCCGGGCCGCCGGGCCGCCCCTCTCCGCCATCCCTGCTCCTCTCTACTGGTTTAAACTCTGCAGAATGAGAAACGAACTTTAAGAGAAACAACTTTGATTCATGAACTGAAACAAACGTTTGTGATCTTAAGGAGAAATCACCAAGCAGCACACTTCCGCATTGATGTCATCTAAAGGAGCTCAAAGCTGCGCATTGTTTTTGCAGTCATTCATCTCTCTCTCTCTCTCTCTCTCTCTCTCTCTCCCAATAGGCTTCTTTTAAAATCCAGATTATTTTTAAATACCATGGATTATTCAGTATTAGTATCAGAATCTGTTTATTGCAATGCAATTTGACTCCAGTTGCATATGCACTCTATTACAAAAACACAGTACATAGAATAAGAGGAATATACACCAGGAATACACATATACCACACGCATTTAATAAGTTAGTACATATCAATAACAGATATGTACTAATTTATTAAATGCGTATGTTTTAAACACGTACATGCGTATTTTGCGCAAGCTTGATGCGCTCTACAGCAGCTAGCCGCGGAGCATCTAAACAGCTAAACATGGCTCCGCTCACATACAGCAGAATGTCTCATTTACTGAGGTCGTCCATTAACAGACTCTCCGTTATAAGAACCGGGGACGAATCAAAACCGGGACCTGCGTGTTGTGTTCAGTTCGCACGCTGCCAGGTAAGATCTCCGCCTGTGAGCGCGAGTTTCAGTTAAGCTGGCTAACAGCGTCATGCTAACGTCAAGCTAGACACAAAGCGAGAATCAGCATACCGGAAGATTTTCAGAATAAATGCCTAGTGGTTATTTAGCATATTATGTGGGGTTAAGCGAATTTAAAATGTCCAAAATGTCATTTTTCATACTCATGAAATATCGATTTCATTTGGGCATCATGTAATATAGCAGGCGTGTAGTTTCAATTGGTAATGTATCGATGTGACGCTCACAACCGGAAGTGCTTAGTTATATTAGTCAGGATTTATTTATAGTCGCAGCTACTGAAATACTCTTACTGATCAACAAACTGTATTAAAGAAACGTTTCAAATGATTTTAATCAGTTATTTTCTAATATCAAAACGATGTTATCACCAGTGCTAGAAACATTTGATTTCTTAACATTTGGAATTAAAAATGTAACCTTTCTTTATGGATCAGATAGACATGTAAACCAATCAATCAAACGGTTTCCAACGAGCCATAAAGCTGCAGTAATAGTTGCAGACGTACTGCAAGTCTAAATGTTTAGTTGGTTATACATTTTGGTTCCAGATACTGATGATCAATATCTAATGAAATATATTATTTTTTAAAGACTTGGCGCTGTGAAACATTGAAATCTTATTAACAACTTAAAGTGATCTTTGGAGACCGTTTTGATTATCCTCCTCAAAAGTAAACTTCTCATTTTGTTTGACCAAACTCCATGTTAAACGTATTTCACTGCTATTATCACAAAATCCTTTGAGATTATTGGTAAATTGAACATGTCTACGATCCAAAACGCACCCTTTACATGATTAAAATGAAGAAACGCTAAATGTCCGATAGATGACAAAGCGGCGGCGGTCAGACCCCCCCAACCTCGGTGTCCTCTGTTTGTCCCAGAGGTCGGGGGACAGCCAGGCCTTACAGGAGAGGCAGAGGCAGCAGATGGCCAAAGGTCTCCCCCGGCAGAAGCCCATCGCCGGGGTCAAACAGGTCGTCGTCGTGGCTTCGGGGAAAGGGGGCGTCGGCAAGTCCACCACGGCGGGTACGACACAAGCTGCTCCTGAAACATGTGTTTCTGGACAGAAAATACGCGTTTAACGTCTATTTCTTTCTGTGTCTGCAGTGAATTTAGCTCTTGGATTGTTGGCCAACGATCCGGTGAGGAAGAATTACGCATATTTTATTTCATCATCTGTATTGTAGCCGATAGTTGTCTAAAACATTTAAACCCTTCAGTTTTAATTCCTCTTATTTCCGCCCCTCTCAGCTCAAGTCCGTCGGCCTGTTGGACGCCGACGTCTACGGCCCCTCGATTCCCAAACTGATGAACCTGAAGGGAAACCCGGAGCTCAGCGACGGTGCGGCGCCTCACTAACTTCCTGTTTGTCTCTTCTTCTGCTCCAGCGATCACTTACTTCTGCTTCCTCTTTCCTCCAGACAACCTGATGATCCCTCTGGTGAACTACGGGGTTCCTTGGTGAGTCCCTCCGGTCCCAAATGCCCCCCTCCCTCCGGCTCTGACCCTGTCCTGTAACCGCTCTCCCTCCAGCATGTCGATGGGCTTCCTGGTGGACGACGTGGCCCCCATCGTGTGGCGGGGGCTGATGGTGATGTCAGCGATAGAGAGACTGCTGAGACACGTGAGTAACGTCAAGCGTCTGTGGCTGGACGATGAACCCGGTTGTGATGGACGGGGTGGGGGGGGCGCGTGTGTCGGTAGGTGGACTGGGGGTCTCTGGACTATCTGGTGGTCGACATGCCTCCGGGGACGGGGGACGTCCAGCTGTCAATCTCCCAGAACGTCCCGGTAGCCGGTGAGTCAGACGCCCGTCCACACGGAGCAGAAACGAAGAATAAGTTACTTCATCCGATAATAATAAGGAACAATTACTAGTAACGCATTTAATGAGAAGACACTATTTTAATAATAACACAATAATTAAGAGCGGTTTGACAATGGATGGATGGATGGACAATAATTAATAATCATAGAATCGTGTCTTGTGTTCAGGCGCCGTCATCGTGTCGACGCCACAGGACATCGCCCTGCTGGACGCCCGCCGCGGCGCCGAGATGTTCAGGAAGGTCCACGTGCCGGTGAGCCGCGTGTGTGTGTGTGTGTGTGTGTCTGTCTGTGTGTGTGTGTGTCTCTGTGTGTGTGTGTGTTATTCACCTGCAGAACGTTGTCTAACCCTCGGGGGGTCACTGCAGGTTCTCGGCCTGGTGCAGAACATGAGCGTCTTCCAGTGTCCCAAATGTGACCACCGGACGCACATCTTCGGCTCCGATGGAGCACGGCGGCTCGCCGACACGCTGGGGGTCCAATTACTCGGTGAGGAGGAGGAGGAAGAGGAGGCCTCTTCATACATTTTTACGATATAGCTTCTTTTCCAATGTCCACGTCTCTGGTTCTAACGTCCATGTCTCTGGTTCTGTCGTCCACGTCTCTGGTTCTGTCGTCCACGTCTCTGGTTCGGTCGTCCACGTCTCTGGTTCGGTCGTCCACGTCTCTGGTTCTAACGTCCATGTCTCTGACGTCCATGTCTCTGGCTCTAACGTCCATGTCTCTGGCTCTGTCGTCCACGTCTCTGGTTCTGTCGTCCATGTCTCTGGTTCTGTCGTCCACGTCTCTGGTTCTAACGTCCATGTCTCTAACGTCCATGTCTCTGGTTCTGTCGTCCATGTCTCTGGTTCTGTCGTCCATGTCTCTGGTTCTGTCGTCCACGTCTCTGGTTCTAACGTCCATGTCTCTAACGTCCATGTCTCTGGTTCTGTCGTCCATGTCTCTGGTTCTAACGTCCATGTCTCTAACGTCCATGTCTCTGGTTCTGTCGTCCATGTCTCTGGTTCTAACGTCCACGTCTCTGGTTCGGACGTCCACGTCTCTGGTTCTGTCGTCCATGTCTCTGGTTCTAACGTCCAAGTCTCTGGTTCTGTCGTCCACGTCTCTGGTTCTGTCGTCCACGTCTCTGGTTCTGTCGTCCACGTCTCTGGTTCTAACGTCCCTGTCTCTGGTGTGCAGGGGACGTCCCTCTTCATCTGAACATCAGAGAGACGTCTGACGAAGGGAAACCCGTCGTGGTGTCTTCTCCCGACAGCCCCGAGGTCTCTGAATGCTGCAGATTATTGATCTCACGTCCTGATCAGTGCTGAACGGTTTGATTGATGCAGAAATCATCAATGATTCCAGAACTTTCTCATCTCCAAAGTTTAATGAAAAGAAAATACTTCACAACATGTTTTACATCAGGAAATCTGTAATTCATAATCTTCAGTACGACTTCAATATTATTTAAGAAAGTTTGTTTGGTAAAAGAGCCTCACTCTTTTTTTCTGATCAATCATTTCATCCACATGAAGGATTAACGGAGGAATAAAGTGACAAAGGAACGTTTTCTGCTTGTGTGTGTGTGTGCGTCTGTGTGTGTGTGTGTGTGTGTGTGTGTGTGTAGGCGGAGGCGTACAGGAAGGTGGCGGCGGCGGTCGTCCAGCGGCTCGAGGAAGTCAGCACCTGATGGATGTAAACATGGAGACACGCGGTCATGTGACACGTGAACAACAAACACTGTTGATACACAAACAGAAACGCACAACACGTTGAGAAGCTCTGTTGTGTATTGTGTGTATTAGTGTTACTGAATAATACGCTGTGTTTAATGAACAAATGAATAAAGCTGCTTTAGTTAGAATAATTAAATGAAGCAGCAACGGATAAACATATTTAAACGTCATTACTGAGAAATACAGTTAAATAAGAGTTCAGTTTTAATACAATCAAAGGCAATTCAAAGTGCTTTTTACATACAAATACAAATAATACATCGAAATAAAAGAAAGAAAGAAAGAAAAACATGTTTCTTTGACTCAGTTTAAAATAAACATTTCCTGATTCAATCTGCAGTATAATAAATAAATCTGTTTTTGTGCCGCTTTAATATTTTGGTCGCAATATTCACCTTTTTGTTTTTCTAGTTTCAAATAGAAACAATAAAGCTACAAAGAGCTCAGATCGGCTCGTGAAATGTTCGTGGTCGTTGACCTCTGACATGTGAGTCGTTGTTTATTGTTTTTTTTTAGATGATTTGTTTGTGAAACTGAAACATATACGTATTTTCTTTATAAACAACATACAAATGAAACGTGAAGGACGCTTTGATGCTGGAGGACATTGTCTCCCAGGGACAGACAGCGGAGGGAGCTCGCTGCGTGTCCAATAAAAGAACGTCTTCACATCTGAAGAAAGGTCTCAGTCTCATTAATGTCACGTCTCGATAAGCACAAATCAATAAACTCATTTAGTAAGAAACAAACAGTTTCAGTTCATACAGAAAGAAACTGCGTGAAATCTCCGGGATGCCCCTCCCACCCCCGACCCACCGGGGCCCCCCACGGAGCTGCATCAGGGGGAACAGGGGGATCATAAAACTGCACAGTTTTGTCTTCTGGTATTTTTGAGACGAGGACGTAGCTCACGTCCTTCTTCCCTCGGCCACCAGGAGGCGACAACTCATCATTCTGAACTCCTGGGACTCAAAGTGAGACTCTGGAGGGACTAATGGGAGCAGCGGGGCGAAAAAGAACAACACCTGTGGGACATTATGTTTGGGTCCATCAGACGACAGCAGGTTGCTCCTCAGACTCCTCAGGAGCTCACTGATGCCCTCAGACGGGTCTGGGAGGAGATCCAACAAGACGCCATCCGTTGTCTCCTTAGGAGCAGACAAGCACGTGGGGGCCACAAGATATTAACAAGCATTTTGAGTTGCAGTAATTTTGTGTTCTTCATTAGGTCACATTGTATAGTACGCGAGCAGGCTTCTTCACCAGCTGTTCTTACCCACAATCCTTTGCACGGCAGATATATGAGTCAGAGGGTTCAAGCTGCCATGTGATGAGGAAGTAGTATGAATGTAGTACGAGTTGAATACTGCGTGTAAAAAGTACTTTGTACAGCTGCAGTTTGTCATGAAGGTAAATGGTTGAACACGCAGCGTCACACTGATACGTGGGTGAGTTGTTCCGCCCCAACAGGTTCAACCAGATCATCAAAGAGGAGTGAAGAATAAAACACTCTCAGCTCAGACTCGCTTGTCTTAGTGGATGTTTTTATTCAACATAAACTCTGCTCCATCACGTGTTCCCTACTAGTCTACATGTAGAAGAAGACCAGGAGACAAAGAGGGACGTGCACGGGTCCATCTGGTCCAAACTACAGCATCCAGTCTGTTGTCATAGCAGCTCTTTACAAGGTGAAAGGATCGTTCCACAGATGCTGGTTTTTGTCCTTGGTGAGGAGGATTCTGTTTACGGTGACCTTTGACCCTGTGAACGCAGCTCAGACTGACACTCAGTCAACCAGTCAGACTGCATACTTTGACGGTGACGTGAGGATGCACCCTCTCTGATAAAAGATAAGAAGCTCTAACAAGCATCACTTCACTCCGTCTGGTGGAAGCTGAAGTGAAGCACGGAGCTGCTTTTCTACACGGACCTGCTGAGGACAGAAGAGAGCTGCTCACTGAGGAAGTTCATGTCTACAAGCTCAGTAAGTGCAGCTGTGATTGGTGGAATGACATCATTGATGGTCGTGAACGTGTGATTGTTTAAAGCTGGGGAACAAGATGGCGCCTGTGTGAGCAGGCAGAGAGGAGCTGCTGTTGGTCTGAATGATGACGCTGTGATGAAGAAGACGAGCTCAGTCTGATCTGGGGTCTGTGAGGACTGGTACTGATGAGGAGGGGAAGGCAGCAGACGGAGGGGCACTAGGACCCAGCAGGGACCACAGAGCTCACCTGGGCCTTTGTTCCTGAAACACACCTGAGAGACGCTGTTTGTTCTCACCTGCTGCTTCAGTCCTTTAAGTCCACAAAGCTTCATCTGCTTTAAACACATTTAGTCACTTTTAGAGTGTTTCAATGTGTTTGTGTTTTCTTTAGTTTAGTTTAATTATTGGAGAATAAGTGCAGATAAGCTCTTCATAGATCAGTCTCACTGATCATAACCACACCAACAATGTAGAAAAACCTGCCCACACACACATTTACATTTTCTGGAAATGTAAAACGGCATTATGAAAGAAAAGTACCATGAAATAATTCAATGTATTTAATATGTATGTATTTATTGCCTCATTTATTTATTTCATGATGTATTTCAAATGCATATTTCATGTATTTACGTATTTATTCATTTATTTAATTTAGACTAAAACGGCATTCCATACCTTACTGCTTTTAAACTGCGCCGTTACGTCAGATTAGCAAGACTAACATACGTGAGGTACAGGACCCAGACTATGGGATGTGAGAACATGTGATAAAACGGTGTACAAACATTACATTGGTGACATACACAGACATTAATTGCACGCAATGCGGCTGAGGAACGTTTTCAGCCTTGGATAAGCTGTCACTCATGTTGACCCGCCCCTCTGTTGATGCCCCGCCCCCCAAGACATATCAGGGCCAAAAGTCTGAAATTGAAGAAACTACAAAATGTGTAAAATAATTGACACTTCCAAATGTAAGATTTGAATCTGAAAATATAAATACAATGTATAATATAAATATGAATATACAAACCCAAATACCCAAAAATATATAAGAGAAGAATGAAAATATATTTCTCATTCAAAACCGTTCAAGAACTGAATCAAAATGATATAAATGAAAAATTCTGTTCATTCAGTTATTTTCATTTTGAAAACATGTTTTTTCTTTTTGTGTATTCGATGTTCCTGACCAAAACTCAAACTTTCAGGTTCAATTTTCTTTTTCAAAAGAACAAAACTTTTGGCCTGGATTTGGCTCCATTAACTTTCTCCACTACGATTATTTGATTATGAATTGATTTTGTTTGAATGCAAATGACACGGCATTTCTGTTGTTGCAGGTGAAGCTGTGAACCACCTTCGCTCTTCCCCAATATTCACAGATTCATCCAACTGGTTTCCACAAAGAGGACGCTGACTTCATCAGAGGTGCTTAGAAGGAGGGAGAAGAATTCTATTTCATTATGGATCAAAACCAATGAACTGATGTAACTCCATCTTTAAAACATGCTGCTGTTTGTTGTTTAAGTGCAGAGCAGTGATTGTTCTCTACGGTTGATATTTATTTAGGTGTCTTTAAAAAGGACAGATGGAGAAAGTCAAGGAGGACCTCATCTACATTTTAAAGGATCTCAAGGAGGACGAGTTCAAAGACTTCAAGTGGTACCTGGAGAACCAGTCAAGCCTGGAAGGCCTTCGAAAACTCCCATCCTGTGACCTGGAGAATGCAGACAGGAGGAAAACAGTGGACCTGATGGTTCGGCGCTACGGCACAGAGTCGGTTCATGTGGCCATGAAGGTTTTGGAAAAGATTCCAAGGATGGACCTGCTTGACCAATTATCTCAAATTCTCCCGACAGGTAAGTTGTTGACATCAGATGCGTATAATAAAGATACAGCAGAAGTAAAAATGAGGAAAGTGCTTCATAAATCCTCCTCATCCCTACAGGGCGGGGCTCTTCTGAAGCTCCTCCCCCTCTGGTGGATGTGCTTCATGTGCCGTTTCATTCACGGATTGTCTGCTCTCTGTCTGCTTTGTAATGAATCTCACAATTAGAAGTTGTTTGGTCACATGCAAGTATGAGCACTAAATGACTGACATTCATGAAATTATTAATGTCAATCCTATTCTTAATAAATGTTATTAATAACGGGGCACCACACTGGAAGGACGGATCAAAAACATTACATTACATTACATGTCATTTAGCTGACGCTTTTATCCAAAGCGATGTACAATAAGTGCATTCAACAATAGGGTACAAACTCAGGAGAACAAGAAACAAGAAAGTGCAATTTCCTCAAATAAGCCAATTTACCAAACTATAAATTGAGTCCCATAATTGGTGTTCACTCAATAAGAGGAACTATTCCACATGAAGAGTGTAGGTTTGAATTTGAACACAGATTGTAAATACCAGCTATTATCACACTACAAATGCACAAAGTAATCACAGAAAACATCTTGTTTCAGGCGAACCGAATCCTGTGGGAGGAGATAGAGGTCAAGGTGAAGAGACTTTATGTACAACCGTCTAAATACTGCACACTTCTATTATTTCCATTGTGAAGTTCTCACTGTCAGTATTCTGGGAAGCTTCAGAGAGGCATGCAGAGAAATACAACCAATAGCTTAATCCAAGGGAATAATATACAATTAAAAATAATATGCCATTGAATTAAAGCACTATCGTGTTTGTGTCATCTCTTTCTTTTGTTAATTCAGAGATTATCGCCGACTGTCAGCGTGAACTCAAATCCAACCTGAAGGAGAAGTTCCAGTGTGTGTTTGAGGGGATCGCTGAAGCCGGAAACCCAACCCTTCTGAATGAGATCTACACAGAGCTCTACATCACAGAGGGAGCGACTGCAGAGGTCAATCAAGAACATGAGGTCAGACAGATAGAAACAGCATCCTGGAAACCAGACAGACCAGAAACAACCATCAGACGAGAAGACCTCCTCAAAGCCTCAGCTGGAAAGAAGAAACCACCCAGAACAGTGATGACTAAGGGAGTGGCTGGCATTGGGAAAACAGTCTTAACACAGAAGTTCACTCTGGACTGGGCTGAAGACAAAGACCACCAGGACATAGAGTTCACATTTCCATTCACCTTCAGAGAGCTGAATGTGGAGAGAGAGAAGAAGTACAGCTTGGTGGGTCTTGTTCATCACTTCTTCAGTGAAACCAGAGCAGCAGGAATCTGCAGGTTTGAGAAGTTCCAGGTTGTGTTCATCCTTGACGGTCTGGATGAGTGTCGACTTCCTCTGGACTTCCGCAACAATGAGATGCTGACTGATGTCACAGAGATCTCCTCAGTGGATGTGCTCCTCACAAACCTCATCAGGGGGAAGCTGCTTCCCTCTGCTCGCCTCTGGATCACCACACGACCTGCAGCAGCCTATCAGATACCTCCTGAGTGCGTTGGCATGGTGACAGAGGTCAGAGGGTTCACCGACCCCCAGAAGGAGGAGTACTTCAGGAAGAGGTTCAGAGATGAGGAGCAGGCCAGCAGGATCATCTCCCACATCAAGAACTCACGAAGCCTCCACATCATGTGCCACATCCCAGTCTTCTGTTGGATCACTGCTACAGTTCTGGAGGAGGTGATGAAGACCAGAGAGGGAGGAGAGCTGCCCAAGACCCTGACTGAGATGTACATCCACTTCCTGGTGGTTCAGTCCATA